GCATGTTGTAATGAGCTGTGCCTCTCTGGAATTACCCGAGTGACAACATACTTTTTCCAAATATTTCATTAGTTCTTCAGGATTCTGTACCTGTGCAGGAGTGAAGTTCCAAAACACTGGAGGTGCCCACTGTTCTAAGTACTTGCCCATTCTACTCCATACCCCCAGCCACTCATAATTCTCCAACCTTGGGATAGGTTTCCAGGTGATATTCTTATCTAGTTGCTTAACCCTGAACAAAACCAGAACCACATTCAGAAACACACTAGCTCCTAACAGCACAGCAACCATGTTTATGTCAACATTTCAAACATATTTGAATTCACCAAATTTCTCAAACAGAACTGTAAATAGCCCCAGGACCTATGACCGCATGCTGTCATAGGTTAGCATCACAGTACAACAGAAACAGAATCTTAACCCAACTCTCACGGAAGGTGAGCAACAGCATGGGAAACACATATTGCAAATGAGGTGGTAAGATCCTAAGGAGCCAAGCAATCCACATTTTACTTGTTTTGTTATCTCAAAAAACCTCAGTGCCCTACATTGGGTGCCAAAAGCTATTGAGGTTTGAACTCAGGTGGCAGCCAGAGGCCACGTGGTCAGCCGTTCACCTCCCCCTCCCCAGTGAAATAGGGGAGGGACAAAAAGAAGAAAATTCGTAGATCAAGTAAAAAGAAACTGTTTACTAAATATAACAAGAGAACAACAGTAACTATAGTGAGTCCAAAAAGAAAACAGGTAAAATGGAACAGTGGCTTACTGAGTGCGGCAACCACCCCCCCACAGCAACACTTGTATACCCTGGGCATGACATCACATGGTATGAAATACTCCAGTGGCTGATCAGGACCCAACCCTCTAGCTGTGCTCTCCCAACCCAGCAAAAGTTAACTCTATCCTGGTCGAAACCAGGACAGCGGTCTAAGCCCATAAGGCCTGGTGTACTTCTCTCCCATCTCTGATGTGTGAAGTTGTGTTTTCAATACATGTTTTAATTTAGTGTTGCCGTCCTATTTCCATGCTTGTTACTTTGTCAAGTGTTCGTGCAAGGAACTATCTTGTAGAACTAACCCAGCTAAAACTAATCTATGAGGGAAAGTTGGCTTTAATCCAGAGGAGATCTGCAGCCTGGTTTATTAAGCGATCACAGAAGCATTTGTGCTGGCACAAAGACGGGGCAATGTGGGACCAAGGGTAGACAATTTCATCTTTAAACTGGTTTATTATGTGACACTGGCCTGGATTTACTTGCATACATGTCCACCTTACACGTTTATATCTGTTGTCTTACCATTGTGCATCTCTCACTGTAACTTAAAATATTTCCATATCGGTTATCCCTAGGTAAATTAACTAGGATTGAGATTGAAGTTGGCAGGCTTGATTACAATAACCTGAGAATTCTGGGACTAAGTCAACCTTTCTAAGCTTAGAACAAATATGTATCTTAAAACAATTCTTGTAAACAACAACAAAAGAAATCACGGAAGTGTAACATTCCTCCTGGAGAGTTTCCAGAAATAAGAGTAGGTGGAATCAAACTGGCATGTGAACACATACTGCTGCTACCCAAAATGGTAACATTTTTGTAGTCTTCTTGGTAATGTAACTATTGTAATTGCTCGGTAAGCGTTCCAGTAACTCCATCATTGTGTGATTTGTATAAATTGTAGTGCGGCCAGACTTTCACTGTAGACCACACCTTTCACTACAAAGAAATCAATGCCAGACAAAATACCGAAATGTTCCATTTATTTGTCTTAAGTCATATATACAAGTGTGGCTCTTCTGGATCAAGAAGTTCCTGCCCTGTTTTTTACCTTGCTGTGGAGGTTACTGAACCCCTGCTGAAATAGATCCTGTGAATGCTTCTGATCCACTGCAGAGCAAGTTCAGTCAGGTTGCTTTAAATCTTCATTTAGTCTCACAAAAGCTATCTGCTGTCTATTGCTTACCTTACAAGAAAGACTCTGTGTTTATAGCAGTTGACTTACTGCTGTCTGAAACAATAGGGGAAGAATAATATCAGTAACTTCAATATGTTGGCCTTGCTAAATTGCACTGTAACATGTCCCCAGTGATCAGGAAAGCTGTGAGTAATGAGAATGAGTTCTTGTTTAGAACTGACAAAAAATAAACATGAGTATTTGAAATGGATTTTATTGTCAGTGAAATAGTGAAGGAAAATGTAGGGCCTTTTAGCAAGCAAACTTTTCATTATGTACTAAAGAAAAAAAAAATCCATTTGAATAATCGACTACAACAAAAGGATGAGAAGTAACATTTTATTTTGTATCTAGAGGCAGAATATGGGTGTGCTCTTTGTTTAGATTTCTTATTTGTGTTACTAGATAGGTTTTATGTATTTTAACCAGGCTGAGATGTAGAGAGGGAAAAAAAGATTTTATATTATAGCAGATGTTAGAGCTGGGAAAACCTTACCATGCTTTTGGGCGGCTTTGTTTTTTGGTGGTTTTGGGGGAGCAAAGGGACGACAGTTAAGATCTGTTTGGTTTGGGCTGGGTTGGGGTTTTTCCCAATACAAAAATGGTACTAATTAACCTTTCACCACAAACCACACGTCTAAATTCCCTTAGTTCCTTAACTGCAACAACCCTTTTACTTAAAATTTAAATTTTCATTTAACATGATAATAAACACTTGGAAACATTCCACACCTGTCCACCTTGGGAATGAAAATTGCCATTCTGCCAGTATAAGTCCTATCTGTGAAATTTAATTTTAAGTGTATAGCTGCATCTGCAGTTTGGTTTCAGGAAGGCTACTTTAAAGATGTTGCAACAGGAAAAGTAACAGCACCCATTAATATGTGAAAGCCCACTTCTAGATAAAGCACAGCCTTGTTTATCTTAGAGTACATTTCAGTTGAAATATACTAGTTCTGAAAACAATCAATATGGAGTATGAGCATTTTCAGCTGTTTCACTGCAAAATCGGTTGGCTTATCTTAAATCTGTCATATACTTTCACATACTATTTTTCTGAGGACAAACATCTTCAGTTGCTGTAGAATTATTCTAGGTAATCATGTAGTAATAAGTGGGAACATTGCTGTCCTCATTTCTTAGTAAACTCTACCAATCTTGTTGCATAAATTTTACATAGTTTTCCTATTTTGTCATTTACTATCTTACCTGGTTCACTGTTGTTTAGAACTTTGATTGACAGAAATTCCTCATGTTGAAAAATTTTTCAGACTAAAGCTGTATTTGCTATATTGCAGTAATTGCAATATATGCAATTGATATGCAGTTGCTAAGAAAACACAATGTCTTATTTCTGAGATTTTCCATCTTGATAGAAACTTTTTTTTATCATGTAGCACAGTCAGGTTATTGGAAAGGATCTGATAGCTGAAAGTGTGAAATTATTCTTTAGAAGTTTTCTGTCATATCTAGAACTGAGTAGAGTTGAGTTTAGATGATTTTGCTGTTGAGCAGTCTGCATATAAATAAAGGTTGAGAATGAGTAATAATGCATTTTTAAAAAACATTGTAAAACTTAGAGGAAAATACACGTTTGTGAAAAGAAGTAATGCTTGCCTAAACTACGTATACTGAGTTGGACAGCTAAAGATTCTGTCGATGAATTTTGCATTGTAGTTTCAAACACTTAAGAAGTGGCTTTGTTTCGTCATTAACATTACAGATGCATTTCAGTACATCTTTTTTAATTGGACTGATCTTTCAAATTGAAAGTAAACAATTTGGTTTGAATGATGAGGTTGTATAATAGTACCTAGCTTTATTCTTTGATCAGAACTTCTTTGTATTATATAGTGTACAAGGCCAAGATGTTTCTACTTAGAAGACTTTAGCTCTTGTTTAAAACAATAAACAAGAAATAAGGAAAAATTGGGGGGCGAAGGATGCTTTCCACTGACACAAGAAACAAAAAAATTCTCTGAATGACCAGCTGTTTTGAAATGCATTATAAAGAAGTTGTATTTAAATTTAATTGAGACTGGTACCTCTGTTTTGCACAGTTTTATGGGGAGTTTGTCCCCATATATGCTTATCAAGCCAAACATGGAGGAAGCATCATTGGCATAATCTCAAAAGTTGATTCGGCGTTTAGGTTAAAATTATGTAGTGGAAACAGGCACGCATTGGAAGGACACATTGTGTACATGTGTTGACATCCCGATAGTGATTGAGAGCAGATATTATAGAGATGGATCATAGATAATTTTTCAAGCAAAATAATATAGTTTATATGATAAGGCAATCAGTAAAAAAAGTGACATCATAGAGTAGGCTACAGAGAATGACCATATTCTCTGTAATTAAAAGGAAGGCTACTGGAGAAAAAAAATAATCTTCTTAATTGATGGCTAGAGAGGTATGTAAGGATGGCAAAAGAAAGACTGAGAGTTTAGCAGTTAGACATTTGATTTGTCTGTATGTGACTGTGTGTTTATGAATCAGAGTGGCAGAAGGTGTGAAATTGTGCAAAGATTGTATATAGTAAGTTTGAAGATCAAACAAATGAATCATATTTAAAGAAGCAAGTTTTAACTAGAAAAAGAGAATGCATGTGTATATTGTGAGTGGGAGGTGAGGGTATTAAGAAGGAAGTGCAAAATAGATCCAGGAGTAAGATTTCTGTGTTTAGATGAAAAAATGAGACTCTTAGTAATGGAGAAAATAGAGATTTTTAAAAAACATTCTCCAGCCCTATTTTCATTTGGTAGAAATAGGTGAGATTTTTCTTAAAACCAAGATGGGTGAAACTTAAAGAGTAAGGAGAAAAAATGGATAATGGTTCTGAAAAGGATATATTGTATTTTAAAGTACATTATTTCATAGCTCTGTGAATTTCATACGTTCCTTCTTAAACATTGTAATTATCATGATCAAGATCTGAATATAATAATTGTTTTTTTCCATTTAGTGTATTTAGTTATTAAAATTTAAGGTTTAGTCTTTCAAGAAATGTTTTCATTGTAATTAATTGTCTCTATTGATTTACAGAAATTTCAAGACATTGAAGAAACACACCTTCTTCGTATGAAGGAGATTATAGAATCATTGTCAAATACCATAAAAGAAATTCACTTACAAATAGGAGAGGTAATGTTTATATTATTATTTGTTTGCTTGAATTGTGCTACATATTTTTCTTAACTATTAAATGGAGCATTTCTTACTGTGTTTGTGGCAGTTAGAAGATCACATATTTCAAATGATGCTAAGTTTGACATATGCGCAAATTTTTATGGCTTTCTGTTGCATTTATAATTTCAGTATCACAAAATTTACCAAGTCTGAATAAATTTTGTCTTATCAGAAAACCAAGTATTTGACAATTTGAAGAATTTTTAGTGTATTTCAAAGTCCTGTTCCCTAAATATTAAATATAATAGTTAATATACTCATTTCACAGATAAGTGGGATACTTGTGCTTTCTTTGACTAAAACTTAAAATTGTATCACTCAAAAGTTTCAACATTTTTTATACACTTTGGGTTTTTTGAGCAAAAGATCTTCAGTAATAGAAACTTTAATAGGAACTTTTCTTTAGATGTAAATTTGTTTAATTAATAATCCTTATAAGTAGTCCATAATTTTTAGATGTTTTGAAGTGTAGTTTTATTTGCACAGAGTCACTGTTTTCCTCAATTTTGAGGTTTTCTGCTAATGAATGATGGTCACAAGGGTCGTGCTATTTACTTCTAAAGCATGGTTGGAAAAACTTCTTATTAACAAAAACATGTGGTTGTTTCTTTGTCAGATAAAAAACGTTGCAACTGTAATGCTTTTACTTAAGCAGGTGGGAGCTGTGATAATGAAGTAGTTACAGTTCACACCCTAAACTGGTGCTGGCTTAAGAGACTACTTGTCTTCTTGACATGGTAGTGGGACATGTTGCTGACAAATTCAGAAGATTATATATACACAAGTCATTTAGATGGAAGAAGTGGAAATATATCCTACACCCACCATCAAGCTGGATTCTTTAATTCTTAATTTGTATCTATATTGTACACACACTTGCTAATACTAGAGCAAAGAAGCAATCTTCTTGATAAAATGCCTGTTGATTTCTGGAAGCCCCGCAAAATATATCAGAGGGAAGTATTTTGAACCTTAACTCTAGAGAAAACCACTTTTTAAAGTTAATTATGTTCTTTCAATTACTGTTTTTTAAATTCCTTTTGTGTGTGGTGTGGTTTTTTTGAAGGTGCACGAAGAGTTTATTAATAACATGACAAATACTACGGTTGAGAGTTTAATACAGAAATTTGCTGAGTCAAAAGGAACTGGCAAGGAAAGACCTGGTAAGATTAAATATAACAGAGTAGTAAATGTTAATTTTAAAACTGTAGATTTCCACTCCTAATAAAAGGTCAAACTCCTATTTGTTAATGGTTTATATTTTTAATGTACTTGAAATTTCAAATTCTCAGATTTCATTAGCTTTGATATTGAAAGATTAATCTAAATTGATAACAGACAATTTATTATGTACATGTAGTATGTGTGTTCATAAAGCATGGCAGTTTATAGCCCTCTATGTAGACCTTCAAGGAATCTTTTAAACTATACTGTTCCTTGGTACATCAAGTGAAATTTGTCAGGAAACTTCCTTGTACAAACTATGTGCTGTGTTTCTCCATAAATTTCTTAATATATTCAGAACAGATGTCTATAAAGCTGCTTATTGAACTGTATACAATCTCACAGTACTGTGTATCAAGCTTTGTAGGAAAAACAAAGACTTTGCTTTACTATTTGCCCATGAATACACAGTCACTAGGTGTGTGTGAATACAGGAATTCAGTAGTACTGTTTTGTATGTTCTTCAGCACCGGGAGTCCTGACTAGCATCTCTGTCTTCTAGTATAGAAGCACAAAGGTTTTTTTCAGGGCAAGGATGTACATAACAGAGTAGATCTGGAGAATTTGTATTAAATTGTTAAATATGATTACTAGATATCTTATCAAGCTCTGTGAGGTGTTTTTAACATAACATAGTTTCATATTCTTTACGTGATACACTAATGCTGATACGTGAGTGGGCTGAGGTAAAGTTGTATGTGCGGACAATTTTCAAATGTTTTCCTGTATTTTGCAATTTTTCAGTAAAGATTGAGAAAGAATTTCAGGGGTTCAAGTTCAGCTGGTCTGAAATCAGTACAAAGATATGTGAAAATTCATCGTTCAGACCTCTTTGACAAGCTTTTGCCAAAATGTCTTGGCTAGGGATCTCCATCTTGTATTTGGGATTCTGACTCCCTGAGCTACAAAACCCCTTGCTAACGTATCCTAGAGCACTGTGCTGTTTGAGTCATTCATGCTATTAGTTTGGTTTTGTGCTAGATAACAGAGTAATTGTAAGAAAAGTAACACTTCACTTTTTAATGTAGTGGAAGAAGTTATACACGCTCTGTACTTGCTACTTTACAGAATTCCTCAAATCCCATTTGTATTCTCTGGAGCCAAATAAAAGCTTTGCCGTAGCAAATTTCCTTTCTTCAACTCTTAATAGCAAAGTATTCTAAGGAAAGATAGTATGTTCAGTGTGGAAATATATGCACCTTGTATTTTTCTTTTACAGTGTTAAATTGTTGTATTGATACTAACTTTGTAAAGCAGTCATGGTGCAGAGGGAAAGCATAGGCAAATTCAGCAGTAAAAAATACAGGTTCACAAGAAGTTGTGAAGTGTCAAAGACTAGAAACACAGATGGCTAGTGATGTTATTTATGGTTACTGTTTCTATTATAGTAATTTTATTAACTTAGAATCATACAGCTTTGAAAATTACAAAGATTTAGAAGGAAAAATGAGGTATCAGCCTTCTAAAAATGAAATGGAAATATCCAGTATGGTAATTTTTCTTGCTTTAAAAAATACTTTTCTGCACTTGAGAACTGTTCCTGGTAGTATTTTAACTTGTGGAGCAAATGTTGGAAGTCTTTCTATGTGTGATGTGTTTATTAATCAGCCTGGAGGAGGAGATGGCTCCTCAGATAAATCTAGCTATTCAGTGTAAAAATTATACTGACTTGGCGTACAAAACAATTGTATTTTATGGTTGTTACTGTTGCTCAAGATTCCAGTCTTAAATCTGTTTGAAGGAAATACTTTAAAATTCCCCAGGACTATGTAGACCTTCTCTCTTCCATATTATTTGTGGACTAATATATTAAGCTGCATACTGGTCTTCTTTCTGAAATACTGAATTCTGAGAACAAAAAAACCCTAAAAAGGTAACACATAGCAAAGTATTTTAGTTTACCTCAGTATATTCTAGCTATAGTTACAGTTCTTCATGGCAGAGTTCACTTGCTTTTATTTGTATCTGTGAAAATAAGAATTAATGTGAAATGACGTACTGAGAAGGACTGTTTTATTACACGGACTATAAACAATTTACAGTAAAGTTTCCTAGATATAGGCAATTATTTTCTTAAACTCTCATCTGCATATCTGAAATTTTTCTTTGTACAGTGATGTCCCTTGTACCAGATATGTGGGCTCCCTCTAGTGGCTAACTTCTGTCACCTGAAGTCGTAATATACAGTGGCTTCTAGAGTTTAGCAGTTTTTCTAATACAAATAACGTTTCTTTCAAGCAGTAATGCTTTGTGTGGTTTCTTCATTCATGGGCTATTGTACAAATGGCTCTGTGTGGTATGCACAGGCAGGATGCAGGAAAAAATCACAAAACCACCGATTAAATGCAAAGAGTATATTTATTCTTGTTACCTCATGGCCCTGGGGGGATATCCGCAGCAGCACCAGGGCAGAGGCATGCAAGGGGGATGCAGGCAATGCAGAGCTCAATCCTTGCTAGCCAGAAAGAGGAGGATGAATAAAAGATCTTGAACCTGTTGCTTTTACCTGTATGTATTAGGGATTTTCACAGGTGTACTTTTCCATTGTGCTTTGATCTTTCCCACAGCAGGGCAGAACTCTCAAGGGTGTTCAGTAGTGTGTCTTTGAGTCTCTAACAGGTCTGTGTTATCTAAGCACAGACTTTCCACCCATCAAACAGTCAAAGCTAAACAACAATCAGGATGATATATGTGTTTTTCGATACCCCAGCTGCAAGTCAGTTGAGTATGTTTACAGTCCTTCTCTCCAATCTTTCGTTGTATTCCCACAGGCTCTTTTTCAATTGCTACATAAATAAATTACCTAATCAGCTTTATCACCTGCTTCTTACTGAATTTACCATGTGTTTTTTTAATTTCAGTTTTTAGTTTACAAATTTTAGTAATACAGTATTTGAAGAAGTTATTTTTCTCACTTCCATTCAGTGTAATAAAAAAAATGGCCATATATATCTAGTTGCAATTCTTTTAATTCTAACTGAAGAAAATAATTTATTGTAAAACATTGAAAAACAGAAAGAATGCTGGCAGAACCTGCTGTAACCAGTAAGGCTTCAGATCAGAATTTAGTGTGTCCTCTGAACTGTTTTTAATATTCAGAGGGACCTGAACAAGCTTTAGAAGTGGGCCTTTGTGAATCTTACGAGGTTCAACAAAGCCAAGTGCAAGACCCTGCACCAGGGTCAGCGCATCTCCTGGTATCAGTACAGATTGAGAGATGAAGGGATTGAGAGCAACCCTGAGGAGAAGGACTTGGGGGTACTGGTGGATGAAAAGCTGGACAGGAGCCGGCAACATGTGCCTACAGTGCAGTAAACCAACCGTATCCTGGGCTGCATCAACAGAAGTGTGGCCAGCAGGTTGAGAGAAGTGATTCTGCCCCTCTGCTCTGCTCTCATGAGACCCCATCAAGAGTACTCTGTTCAGGTCTGGAGTCCCCAGCACAGGAAAGGCGTGGACCTGTTGGAGTACATCCACAGGACAGCCACAAAAATGATCAGAGGGATGGAACACCTCTTCATCAAGGACAGGCTGAGAGAGTTGGAGCTGTTTAGCCTAGAGAAGAGAAATCTCCAGGGAGACTTTATTGTTGCCTTTCAATAATTACAACGGGGCTTGTGAGAAAGATGAGCACAACAAAGTAGGGCCTGTAGCAGTATTACAAGGGGTAATGGTTTTAAGATAAAAGAGGATAGATTCAGACTAGATATAAGGAAGAAACTTTTTACAATGAGGGTGATGAGACACTGTGGAACAAATTGCTCAGTGAAGCTGTGGATGCCTCATCCCTGGAAACATTGAAGGTCAGGTTGGATGGGGCTTGAGCCATTGATCTAATTGAAGCTGCCCCTGCTCATTGCAGTAGGGTTAGAACTAGATGACTTTAAAGGGTCCCTTCCAACCCAAACTCTTCTGTGATTCCATACTATGTTCTTGCTGTTACCTCTAATAGCAGGTTTGGTACCATCGGTTGGAAGATGCTTTTGTCACTCACATGGTCCCGCAGTGTTCATCAAAACTTGTTGGCCACTTCTGATGAATCCGTTTTCTGTTTGTTCCTTGTTAAATTCATTTATTGAATGGCAGAAGGTGTCTGCTTTTCTTCCGCCCAAAGTATATGTTAAATCAATAACAGAGGTGATGTCTGTTCCAGATTAATGACATATCAGTAAATGCTAGCTTTATTTACTTAATCTTCTCATAATCTATTAAAAAATTCGTTTGTTCCAGTATGAAGAGTTGATGCCTCATGAAATGGAAACTGCTAGGGCATATGAGCTCATGTTCTTCCTAGGTCTTATGTCTGAAATTGGCAGAATAATATCTAATGTGTTTGAAGAGATTAATGAATGCCTATATAGCTGTAGTTGGTCATGAATGATTTTTAATTTTTAGCTATTGAATTACTGTGCCCTCTTCTCATATGGGAGGAACTTTGTGTGTTTGTCCCTGTATTAGTGGCCTTGAAGGCCAAATGAGAAGACTCAACTGTGCTGCATTGCCCAAAAAAACAAACAAAAGCCAAATCCAGATCATTTCTTTTCATTAATCTGTTCTGTTGTCATTGTTAGTGGCTGTTGGTAATTTATTAAGTTGTTCTTATTTTTTGCATTTTTTTATTAAAAAATTAATAAAGAGGAAATAAAAATTTTTATTGTAGTACAGACAAAAATGGAAAGCCATAATCTTTGCTGGCTCCTTAGCCCTCCAATAATATAATGATCTGTAGATAGCAGTTAGTACATATGCTGTGCAATTATTCAGTGTGAGAGAGGACCTGTGTCATCTTTTTAATTAAAAAAAAATAATTGTTTTTGTGCTAACTTGATCCATTTTTCACAGTCTGAAGAAGCCAGAACATGATTTGCAACTCTACATACAAGTAGGCAGAGATATGGCAAAGAGGAATAGTCACATGCAAGTTGTCTTCTAAGTGTAC